CGTTGTTGTGAAGACTGGAGGAGATAATGCATGTTTAGCCCCATACTTGGTATATAGTCAGTGCTCAAAAAATGGTAACCAGTATTCACAGTATGTAATGCAATTAGTTGCTGCTGCAACATGCTAGAATCTTCTTCATTTCCCTCAGTTTTGCCTCCAAACTTTTGCCCAGCCATCCTCAGATGAAAATTCCCATTTCTGGGTATGTCAATGGTACAGCATTTTCATCAGCTTCCTTTCCCCCCACAAACCAGGAATGGTTCAATTCAACTTCTCCGAAATTCGAAGGCTCTGTTCCCTTTCCCTGGGCATCCTCTGTAGGGTGCCTAGTCCCTGGGAGCTCTGGGACTCTGAAAGCCACAACTATCCTCAAAGTCGACTTCTGGCATTTACCAGTGGGCAGAGATCATATTTAAAACTGGAAGAAAAAAGCTGAATCTGAGAAACATAATTTAGGATACAGCAAAAACAAAAACTCGATTTACGAATGTTCTTTACACAGGGCGCCTGGGTGGCTCAGTTGGTTAAGTGTCCGACTCTTCATTTCAGCTCAGGTCAGGATCTCACAGTTTGTGAGTTCGAGAGCCCATGTTGGGCTCTGCGCTGACAGCACGAAGCCTGCTCAGGATTCTCTCTCTCTCTGCCCCGCCAACAATAAATAAATAAACATTAAAAAAGTGTTCTTTACACAATTCCCCAAAAACCAAATGTCCCATTCCACTCCCACCATAAATGAACCCACAGAATTTTCAGGAAAAAAGCAAGTGCACATAGTACATGTTCAATACATATTTGCGGAATGAATGAATGAATTGTAAGATGCCCGCTATGCAGAAATGTGACCTGCTTGAACATTAGTTGCCATCAAACCCCTTAATTTTAGCATAACTTGCCCTAGTCTCCTGCTCTCTAAGCCAGTAACATTCATTTTCAGGGTCACAGTTGATGACAGTGGGCACTTTCAGCTCTACAGGCCTGAACTACCATTTCTTCGCAGCCCCTGGTCTTTGTAGCCCAAGGGCACTCTATGTTGATTACATGAAACTTCCCCTCTCCTTGGAAGAGATCAGTATTTCTAATTCTTCTCCAAGTCTCCAGAAAGTCTATTCTGTGTCCCCTGGCCTTCAAACCTGATCACTGTGCCATAGCCAGTAAATGACAAATCCAACCAATCAAAGAATGTACATTAAATGTCTTCTATATGCCCAGTGATATGCTATATGCAATGGTGACATATACTGAAATATTATTGGTGATCTTTTTCCCTTAGGATGCTAATCATCTCCCTGTGAGGATAAAGCTAATACACAGGAAGCAAGTGGAAAATTGCATAGTACTGATTATCAAGGCTCAGAGACTATTTATTGAGCACCTACTATATTCCAGGTACTTTAAATGTTTAAATGGAGTACCTCATTTAGTTGTTCAGCAATGATGTGAGGCTGGTGTTATTGTTATCCTCATTTTACAAAAAAGAAATGGAACCTCAGAGGTTAGGTAACTTGCACATACAGTCACAAAGCCAGTAAGCAGCGACGGAGGAATTTGGGCCCTACTCTGGGTAACTGTAAGGTTTTCATTCTCTCAACTACCCTGAATTAAGAAATAGCCAGAGGAGGCTTCCTAGAGGAGGTAGGAACTTACCTAGGTCTTGAAGGGTGAGTAAGAAACAGATAACCCCAGTGGAGTAAGAGAATGAGGCCATTCTAGACAGAAGGAAGAGTCTGAGTCAAGCACAGAGGCATGACTGCGAAGCCTGCTTGCTGGTGGACCTGCTGGATGGGAGCAGAGGCGATTACATGGGGAAGGCAGGGTGGGGCCCCATGAAAGCACACAGCAGCAGCTTTTCTCCATCAGGAAGAAGAGGCTGCCCCTTGGCCTGTCCATGCCTGGTCCAGGAAAGCACCTCACTCTAAACCCAGATAATCCACTCCAGAGGGCGATCTCTGGCTTCTACTCCCATGTAATCATTCTTCTCTATCTTAAGCACTGCTCCCCAAGTGACCCTCCCCAGACACTGGGAAGCCCATTTCTAACCCTCTAGACGTTACACTACAGTAGCTTTTACTTGACCACGGAACAGCTTTTCTGCACATAACACTGCTTTGTGAATCTCATTCTTCCTCCCTTTCAGTTTAACCTTTTCCAAAACAGGAAGTAAATATTTTTCTAATTATCAGTCGGTCCTAAATTGCCACCCCTTCACTGTACCCCACATGGATATAGGTGATGCCAGAGATGATTTATATATAACTTCTGATTTTGTGATAACGGGTCACAGTCTCCATGATTAATATTTCTGGAGACCTTTAATTTGAGATCCTTAAGGATTCGCATCAGTTGGAACTTCAGGAGAATGTACCCACATATCCTTGGGAATCCTTGCCTTGCACAGAACAGTCAATACTGGGTGACTTAGTTTGAACCCCTTCCTCCTGAGGAGGCTCACCATACCTACTGGGAATAATTCAACATTGTGGCCACAACTTGGTGAGCACTCCTCCTACTACGGAAACCTCAAAGAGGCAATGAAAAGCAGTTCTGGCAACAATGGAAAATAAGGCAAGCGGCTGCCAAGTAAGTACTTTGCAAACAACAGTAAAAACGAAACGTGTGAACTCGTGACCAGGGTCTACTGGAGCATTTCGGGAAGGTCTCACCGAACCCGAAATGAAGAATCAAAGCTGACACCCGTCTCAGGGGAGAAGAGCGTCCCTTTAAGAAGGGATTGTAGCAGCTGGCCACACTACAGCTCCCAGAGATTTCCTGGCTTGCCTCCTGGCTCCACCCACCAGTTTCAGGCCTCAGCAACGCGTGATGTCAGAGAAAGCTGAAGCTGCCGATAGGCTGAACAACGCAGCTAGGTCAAGTCCAGTCAGAGGAAAGAAGTTTGTCTCCATGTGGAAACCATGTGTCTCTAGCTGGGAGGGGGAGGAGGAGGAGGCGGAGAAACTGAGATCAAGTGATTACAGGGGAACTGGCTGAAATGAAGGCGGGGAGGTTGTGCACCTGAGCCGGCCAGCAGTGCCCTTTGCAGTAGTGACCTAAAAAGAGG